AAGAGAGAAGAGAGAAGGTTTGCAATGTAACAGTACTGGCGGCGCCAGTGTTTATTTTACTATATATAGGGCGACAGAAATAACAAGGGAAAAGACCCTTGTGCCCTTGAGTACAATAACAGACATAACAGAAATAAAAAAACGAAATAAAAAAACACTTTAATTAGCCAAACAGGCCCTAACATCTGCAACTAAGTTATTTTAACATTATTCCAACAGTGTCCACATAGCATCCAAATAGTGAATATTCTAACTTTTCCAGGTTACCAGCAAATGGTATGTAAAGTATAGTGGACTGCAAATAGATATGAATATCAATGATTGATGTAAGACATATAATGTTCTATCAGATCAAGATGCCATACATTGTGAAGGGAACATGACACAAAACACCACTATTTCATATGATATTATAAATTACTAGGTTCAGTGAATATGATAGATGAGGAAAATATCGATATATCTGTCAAGAAAAAAGACAAATACCTGCATCCCACATTCTATAGAAATGGTACGAGAAGTGGATTCCCCAAATGACATTTTCGAAACCCAATAACCAAGAGCAAATGCAACAGCATGTAGGATGGCCACAGGAACTATAAGTTGTGCTCCTTGAGACTTCAAGACATTTGAAACTTGCCCAATCTTGCATATATACAAGTTGACGTTAGTATTTTTCAAATATAGTTAGAATGACCAAGTCTAAGGCTATCATAACCGCTTCACAACTGAATTGAACACTTCATTTACCAATAGATTTGTTAACTTACAGGGCTTGCACAAAGTAATGTGGTAAGGATAACCCCTATTAATGGTGTGACTGTGATTATTCGCGCAGTGAATTTGGGGAAAAACTCATTTGACAATACTGAAACATAGACCAAATGTAGGATTGCATCACTTTTCAGATAAGCTATGAACTGCATTAAAGTGATAGTGATAACTGTTGAACCACTGGCATAATTTTACTGAGAGAAGAAAACCTTTTGATTACCTCCAACAACAGTTGGCACCAACACTACTTGGAAAGTGCTGAGGGCAAGGCCCTACAAAAATAAAACGACTAGTTTTAGTCATTAGTAGTAGGCAGAAGGCAATTCTCCGTAATAAGCCTGTTTGCAAAGAGATCGTTGGTTGAAGTCTGTATTCCATCAGAAAGATTAAGAGAACAGTCTACAAACTATTTGACAGGAACTTGGTAGGAAACTCTTATATAGTAATACATAAATGAATAGGAAGAAGTAATAGCTTTCCCTTTTCTTTCTTTCTTCTTCTTCTTCTTCTTTTTTAATTTCCTGGACCTTTTTCAGAGTTGCTTCTTTTACTCCAATCCTAAAATAATATGATCTATCAGATGCCAATATCATCCAACCAAGTTGGTTTTGGAATTCAAGATTTCCTGTGTGGATTCCATCCTACTTGACACATATCTTAGTTATCTCAAAGTTATCAGCTTCTTTGTGAGCATACTTAAGGACAATTTACTGAAAAACTATATCAAGTGAGGTATGTTCTTACTGCTGCATCAACTGGAACAAGCTGACCTGCCAGAAGCTTTGTGAGGAGTGGTGTCATAACAATAGCACCGATTGTTGAACACCTACAGGATCCCAACCGGTGAAATGATTAGTGATGAATATCTTATCAAGAATTTGAATCCTAAGCCAATTGTCCAACATGAAATCACTCAGACAAAAGAGAAACTTCCAAACATCAGCATGCAGTAAAATATCATGACTCGTTGCCACTTACAAAATATCATGCTTTAAACACTGTTATAAGTATTCGTCGTCCAATATGAATATCGTATTATAGGTTAGATTGACAGTTTAAACAGCATATTTGACACAAATTTGATCCCTTATGACATGTAAAAGACCTTTCACATGTAAAGTTTAAAAAAATCATAATCTTGACTGCTATCATCTGATAAATACATAAAAGTATGTATACAAAACAGAGAAATTACCTTGAATATATCAAATTACAATTAGAGATTACCTAGCATCCAATTTACCCAACCAAAGCTAGTATAGAAAGTAGACCTACGTTGTCATAAGAACTGAGAGTGCAACGTTTCCCTTGGATATGTAGGTTGCAACATTTGATGCCTGCCCTCCAGGGCAGCATGAGACCAAAATTAGACCAGTTGCAAGAGGAGCTGAGAGTTTTAGACTCTGCAAATCAGAGAGCAGATTTAGGATTCAGACTTCACAATAATGTTGGACACAAAATCAAGAATGTCTAAGTTAATCCAGATGATTTTCGGCACCAAAAGCTAACAAGGCAATGATGATTCATACAGAAACCCAACATTTTAGGATTTTACAAATGCAGAAATAATATGTGGAAAATCACCTAAAACAGAGGATTTTACAAATTTGTTCAAGCTTTGCTATCATGGTGCACATCACAGGCATGAACAGGAAAGGCAAGTTCCTATGGTCAGTTATTCCTCTGGCAATCCTTTGGGCCATTTGGTTGGAAAGAAACTCCAGAGGAGGTGGTGATCAATTATGCTGTTAAAGAGATTAGAAGTTTTTTTGAGAAGCAGCGAATATTTCATTATAGTAAAAAGATAAAATGAGACTGCTGAGGGAGAGATTTTCTCAACAGCCCGCTACAAGGGGAAAAGAGCCAACAAGATGCTTAAACTGAAAGCCCCTGAAGAGACCACCAGTGAACATCCATTTAATCAGAATTTTTTCCACACTCCCGCACATTTTTTCTGATGGAGCAACTCGATCTTCAAACAAGTGATTGTTCTGCTCCTTCCAAATGCACCAGCAAACTACCAAAGGAGAGATTCCACAGGACCTTACCACTCTTGGAGAATGCCTGCCCCCACCAAGAGGACAGAAAAGATGCAAGGTCGGGAGATGTCACCCAGTTCATGCCAAAAAGATTTAAAACACGGGACCACACCTTGTGAGAGAAACTACATAGAAGTAGGAGATGCTGAGCGTCCTCCCTGCACAAACAACAATGATTGACTAGGGCCACTCCTTTTTTTCTCAAACACATCAATAGTAGGGATTTTACCCTTTGTAGCAGCCCAAATAAAGAATTGAACCTTTAGAGGAATCCTGAGCTTCCACAACCAGACCTAAGGGGGCGAGGTCCCATCTGAATTTAGCAAAAATTGCAACATAGAATTCACTGTAAGGAGGTCAGAATTCTCTTTGTTCCACCAAATCCTGTCCCTTTCTGTCGGATGAAGCTAGATTTATTCCAAACTTTGTGTTAGTGGTGTTAGTGAAGGGGTATTTCAGTCTTTGTACTTGTTGAGAATGCTGATGTGTACTGTTATGTTAGTTCGAGTGCCTCTTACTTAAAGAAGGGCACTCAAGTCTTTTTCAATAAGTCAATAATATAATAATAGGTCTGGCCGAATCAAGGGATTAACTTTTTTCCCTAATTCGAACCAGCCTTTCTCTCTTTGCTCTCTTCTCTCTTTTCTTCTTTCCTCTCCTACTTCTTGCTGTCTACTTTACTCTACAGTCAACGAACAAGACAGAATTCTATGGCAGGTCAAACTTCAACACTTTGAAACAAGACAGCCAATGAATCCAGATCCCAGTCATTTACCTCTCTTCTTAGTCTCAGGACCCACACTACTCTTGGTTGTAGATAACCTCAAAGTAATCACATGCCCGGGGCCTCCTTATCCTGAGCCAAAGCAAAAATTGATGGGAAGCCCAAGCAAAGGGGTTTGGTACCACATCACCTGTCTTTCCAAAACAAAATTCTTTCTCTGAACCAGGTTTGAAAGAGATACAACTGAAAAACACCTCCCTGATTTGTAAGATGCCCTTCCATGAGCTAGCTCCATATGGTTCTGAAGCTGGGCCAGATTCCCATCCGCAACTAGCTTCCCCATACTTGTTTTTAATTACATTTTTCCAGAGCACATCACCCTCTGTAGCAAATCTTCAGCCACTTGGCAAGTAAAGCACTATTACTTATTTGAGAGGCTTTATGCCTAAACCCCCTTGCTGTTTTGGTTTACAAACCTCTGATCAAGCCACAAAATGTAGCTTTTTATGATCTTCTGTGCCATCCCAAAGGAAGTCCCTCCTTTGTTTCTCAATGCAGCTTAACATAGTACTCGGTGCCCTAAGCAAAGACATGAAATAAATGGGCAGATTTGAAAGGACACTATTGATTAGAGTGATCCTTCCCCCTTTGAAAGGTAAATCTTCTTCCAACCAGGCAGCTTGAATTTTGTTCTATCAATAACTAGGTAGCAAATTTCTTTTGCTTTACAATGCGTTCCCAAGGGAAGGTCCACAACTTTTGAAGGAAGGGAACTCACTCCACCACCCAAAAGAGCTGCCAACTCATTCAATTGGGGGACCTCCTCAACAGGGATAAGAGCAGATTTCTGGAGATTTATTTTCAAACTAGATGCAGCTTCAAAACAGATGAGGAGACACCTTAAGAACAACAGATCACAACAACTTGGCCTTGAAAAGATTAAAGAATCATCAGAAAACTGGAGTGTGATTGGATCACTATCATCCGTCACTTTAAAGCCTTCTAGATAACCTCCTGAAACTACACGACTAATGAGTCTGCTCAGAGCCTCCAGTACTATATAAAGAAAAAGGGAGATAAGGGGTCTCCTTGGCAAAGACCTCTCTTTGCCACTGCCAAGCCCTCCACTTTAGAAGTTGAATGCCAATTCTTAGCTTATTTAGAGTGTTATAATTCAGGTCTGCCTTAGAGTTCGGCCTGACTGAGTTCAGTTATGTAGAAGAAGAAAAAGTGATAAAGAAAGAGAGAAAGAGAGAAGAGAGAATTCTG